ATTTTTTTGTAAATATTTATTTTTTAGTGATAGGTGGACACAATATCTTTATTTTATTTTCATGTGGAGCTGAGGAACAAACCCAGTACCCCTCGAATGCTAGATGAGCACTTTACCTCTGAGCCACAACCCCAGCCCCCAGTTTTTATGTTTTAATAAGAGACATCTTTCATTCAAAGGAAGGAAGTKGTAAAGCATATACAAGGTCTTGGGTTCAATCCCCAGCACTTCCATTTCATGGAAGAACATGAAACTCTCAGGCCTTCCTGACCCTAGGGGAAATCAGGCTTTGCCTTCTTCTCAAGGGAGCACATGAGTCAGCTTGATCTTTTCTCTAGGTCCCCACCCCATCCACCCCAGCTCAATACCTTCACCACAACCAGCCTCCTGGGAAAATACAGGATACCCCAGCAAATCCCAGTCCCAACATGGTCACACACTCGAATGTCAGCCACCCCAGCACCAGCTGTCATTAGTGTTTCTATAGACCACATAGAGGGACTCCAGTGTAAGAAATTCCTCACAGAGGATATAAGTTATTTTGCATTTAGAGAAGGGCAGTGCTGGGGATTGAACCCAAGACCTTGTATATGCTTTACCACTGAGCTGCCCCCCCCCCCCCAGTTTTAAAACAATTCTCTGGGCTAGGGATATAGTTTAGTGGTAGAGCATTTGCTTGACATACTAAAGGCTCTGGGTTCAAACACCAAAAGTGTGTGGGGTTTGACTTAGAGGATCTATCTAACTTATCTGACTTCACAGGTCCTTAAATTTATTTGTTTATTGGTACTGGGGATTGAATTCAGGTGCACTCCACCACTAACTATTCCCCAGTCATCGTCGTTGTCCTCTTCTCTTTTTGACTTTCAAGGCAGGGTTTCACTAAATTGCTGAGGCTAACCTTGAATCTGCAATTCTCCTGCCTCAGCCTCTCCAGTCACTGGGATTACAGGTGTGCATCATGWCCCCCAACAACAGATTCTTAGATTTAAAATCTCACAAGAAGGTAGATGCTGAGAGATCTAGACAGATACTTTGAAAAGTCTCCATATTGAAGTCTCAAATTGAGAAAGACTTCAGGACCCATAAAAACTTCAGAACCTGAAATAAGGTACTTCACAAGTCGAGATGMATTTATTTTTTTAAAAGACTATTTTTTAAATAACTTTTTATTTTTTTAGTTATAGATGGACATAATATCTTTATCATGTTTATTTATTTTTAAGTGGTGCTGAGGATCGAATCCAGTGCCTCAATGTACGAGGCAAGTGCTCTGCCCGTGAGCCACAACACCTGCTCAAGATGCATTTCTTTTTTAATTGTTTTTGTTGTTGTTGCTGGTTAAGTGGGAATGGTCAAGTTTTACATATGTCCTCACAGTATCCAATATAGTGGAGTGATTAAGAATTCAGGATTGGGCCGGGGCTGTAGCTCAGTGGCAGAGTGCTTGCTAGGATGCGTGAGGAGGCATTGGGTTTGATCTGCAGGACCACATAAAAATAAACAAAATAAAGGTATTCTGTCCATCTACAATGACAAAAAATTAAAAAAAAAAAAAAGAATGCAGGATTGTTGAGTGTGGTAGCACATGCCTGTAATCCCAGTTACTTGGGAGGCTGAAAGAGGAGGATTGCAATTTGGGAGCCAGCCTTGGCAACTTAGTGAGATCTTGTCTCAAAATAGAGGTAAAAATTTTAAAAAGTGTTGTAGATGTAATAAAGCACTCCTGKGTTCAACCCCTAATACCAAAACCAAAAGAATGCAGGATCTGCTTGGCACTGTGGTGCACACCTGTGATTCCAGGGGTTCAGGAGGCTGAGGCAGGAAGATTACAAGTTTGAGATCAGCCTCAGTAACTCTGACCCTATCTCAAAATAAAAAATAAAAGAACTGGGGATGTGGTTCAGGGGTAGAGCACCCCTGGTTCATCTCCAGTACCTCAAAAAGAAAAGAAAAAGAAAAAAAAATGTATAGGATCTGAAGCCACATTGTCTATACTACAGTATTACCCACTTTGCAGATTTGTGATCTCTGGCAAATTACTTATCACTGCACCTTAGTCTCCTCATTTGTTTATAGGGGAATAATAATAATACCTACTTTATAGGGTTGTTGTAAGCATTAAATGGTTTAATATAAAGTGCTTAGACCAAGTACTTGACATTACAAGTACAAGATAGCAATGTATATTAAGCTGCTGTTGCTAGCCATTGTTACTAACTCCCTGGGGGAACTTCATCTGGATTTGGAGTCAGAGCATCCAACTGGAAAGGCCTGTCTAGGAGTGTCTTGTGAATATTTGCATAACGGTTGAGTCCCTACTGACGTCAGGGACTTCTTGGAGCTCCAGGTCAGATGTAGTCTTGGAAGTAGTTCCTGCTACACAACAGTCCCACAATCGCCCCACTAACCCTGCTTCCTACCCAACTGCTGCAGCACCAGGAAGTGAAACAAAGAGGCAGAGCCTTGTACCGCCAACTGATCCTTATCCCTTTCATGACTTGCCTTTTTTTTGGGGGGGGGGCTGGGGGGAGAGTTAGTGCTAGGTATCCAATCCAGGGCCTTGAACATACTCTACCACTGAATTATACCCCTAGCCCCAAAGGGTGTAATTTTAAAGCATTTATCTGAGCTGGAAATGTAGCTTTATGGGCTGTGGATATAGCGCATCTATCTTTTTTTTTTTTTTTTTTTTTTTTTTTAGTACCAGGGATTGAACCCAGAGGTGCTAACCACATCCCCACCCCTTTTCTATATTTTATATTTAGACCAGGTTTTACTAAATTGTTCAGGTCCTTGTCAAGGCTGGCATTGAACTTGCAATCCTTTTGCCTCAGCCTCCTGAGCCACTGGGATTATAGGTATGTGCCACCATGCCTGGCCTTATCTCATATCTTTTAAGGCTTCCAGAGTGAGGACCAGAAGTGGGAAGAGCATAGGACAGACTACAAAGTAACATGAATTTCTTTATCCCCCTCCTTCCAATTTCCTTATTCCATTTAGTCCACCCTGTGTAGGCAAAGGTAAACCATTTCTCCCCCAAACTGAGATAATTCTCTGATGCTGGAAATGTTTCATCCTATAGGTGGATTTACCCACAGAATCATAATATTTGAACCAAAAGTTTCATTGGGCAGTTTTAAATAGTTCTAAGAGAAAGAAGACCTTCATTGAGGGCAGGTTTCTCAGAGGAAAAGAGTTAACTTTCTTGGGCTGGGGTTGTAGTTCAAAAGTAGAGAGCAGTCACCTAGTATGTGTGAAGCACTGGGTTCAAGCCTCAGAACCACATAATAATAAAATAAAGGTATTGTGTCTACCTACAATTAAAAAATACTTTTTTTTAAAGAGTTAACTTCTTGGAGAGACTTTGAAAGCCATCTGTGTGGTCACCCATGCCCTCATTCTGACGTCCAAATTGTTCTGGGACCCTCCACCAAGTTTGGGGCAGTCCCAGCTTTAGACCACCACCCTCCTCTCCCACGCCCAAGCTCACACTCAGCTGTTTCACTGGATGTTGCATCAGGGAGGGTGATGAAATCAGTGTCAGTGGATTTTACCCAGGGATGCAACAGGCTAAAGGACCAGTCAGGGGTAATGTCACTAGGCACCTTCAACTATCCAGAACTCCTGGACTTCCTTGCCATGGACTAGGGAATGGGGGCAAGAATATCTACTTTGGACTTTGAGTTCTTTCTTATGTTGGTATCTCAAAAAAAAAAAAAAAAAAATCTGAGTTCCACAAAGCCCATGAAAACTTGGGCTACTAAATGAGTTGAAAAATCAGGTGCAATGGGAGTGGTGGCGCACTCCTGTGATTCTATACTCGGGAGGTTGAGGCAGGAAGATCTAAAGTTCAAAATCAGCTTAAGCAATTTAACAAGAACCTGTCTCAAAATAAAAAGGGCCAGGGATGTGGCTTAGTGATAAAGTGCCCCTGAGTTCAATTCCCAGTACCGACAAAACAAAATAAAAAAAACAAGGTGCTTCTTAGTCAACAACCTCACCTCTACAAATGCTCTCTATAGTGAGGACTGAAATGGGGAGCAATAACACCTTGTTTTATTTTTGGTACCTGGGATTGGGATTAAACCCAGGGGTGCTTAACCATGGAGGCACATCCCCAGCCATTTTTTTATATTTTATTGAGAGACAGGGTCTTGCTAAGTTGCTTAGGGCCTTGCTAAATTGCTAAGGCTGGTTTTGAACTTGCAATCCTCCTGCCTCAACTTCCAGAGTTGTTGAGATTACAGGCATGTGCCACCATGCCAGCCATAATAATACCTTTTATTATACTCATATGGCTTCCCATTTCACAAATACCTTTATGTTCATTCTCTCCTAAGAAACTAGGTCCACCCAATGTGGGTAAGGGGTACACTTTCCAATGGAGAAAAAGAACTCCCTTATTCTTAGATAGCAGGTCATTAGGTAGGAATCAAACTTCATTCCAAGATGAGCTCACCATCCTTTTGGGAGATGAGTGAATGTTTCTCTGTTTTTGGTTTTTCCTCAGGCAAGAGGAAGTGAGGAAATTAGGTTTGGGGTGTGGTAGGGGTATAGTTTTGAGAGGCAAAAAGATCAGAGACAGATTAAACAGGAAGGAACTTGAGACCAGATTAATTTAAATGTTCGTTACTTCCCCTACCCCTTCTAAAGCCATTTCAATTCCTGGAGAGCATTACACATGTGTCTCATCCTAGGCTTCTAGCCACAGCAACCTCACTACTCATTTCCCCTGGAACTGAGGCTACATACCTGGGCTCTCCACAGAGGGGAATGATGCAGGGAGGGGAATCCCACCTGCTGTGAGTCACCTGCTAGTGTAAAGGGCGGGCCTTACAATGCACGGACCTTAAAAAGAGGGAGAAAAACAACAGAAGCAGCTCAGAATCTCTGTGAAAATCAGAGAGAACCAGAACCAAAGCAGATCAGACAGAATTAGTCTCAGAGCAAGGGGAAGTGGGCAGAGATTCCACAAGGACTAGTGCAGGTCATAGAAACAGATTTGAGAAGCAGGCGACATAATGCTGGGGATCAGAGCTGTGATGCTGCTATTCCTGCTGCCCTGGACAGCTCAGGGCTGGGCTGTGCCTGGGAGTAGCAGCCCTTCCTGGGCTCAGTGCCAGGAGCTCTCACAGAAGCTCTGCACACTGGTCTGGAGAGCACATCCACTAGTGGGACATATGGTGAGTGTTAGCCCGTGGGACTGAAAGGAACCTCTTCAAGCCTTCCAAGGCTGCATGACTGAATGGAAGCTGTGGCCTTGGGTGGATACTTGAGGGTTGAAGGCGATCAGGGAATGAGAAAGAAAAGGAGACTGGGGTTCCTGGGAGAATCATGGGTATAAGGATCCAGTGGGATTTAAAAGTACTTATCTTGGGCTGGAGTTGTTGCTCATAGAGCACTTGCCTAGCATGTGTTCAGCCCTGGGGTTCAATCCCCAGCATTGCAAAGAAAACAATAAGTATGTGTTGTATTCTTCCCATTCCCTTTCTCCATTCCAGGATTTACTGAGAGAAGAGGGAGAAGAAGAGACTACAAATGATGTCCCCCATATCCAATGTGGGGATGGCTGTGATCCCCAAGGACTCAGGGACAATAGTCAGGTACCACTARGATGAGGCTGGCTCTCAAGGGAGAGGGGACTGGGCCTATAGCTGGGCACTGTGGTGAACTAGAAGTTTTCTGAGAATGGTAAAGAACTGGGTGGATYTTCAATGAATAAGAACAGTGTATCCACCTTTTATTGCTTTCTTTTCTCTCTAGTTCTGCTTGCAAAGGATCCACCAGGGTCTTATTTTTTATGAGAAGCTTCTGGGCTCAGACATTTTCACAGGGGATGATGGTCCTGTGGGCCAGCTTCATGCCTCCCTTCTGGGCCTCAGCCAACTCCTACAGGTATGAAAAAGTGGTGTGGAGGATGGGGGCTAGCTGGTGTTAAGAGACAGAGGCTATGGGATAAGGATCTAGAGTCTTTTCTGACTGCTGTGTCCTTTCAGCCTGAGGGTCACCACTTGGAGACTCAACAGACTCCCAACCCGAGTCCCAGCCAGCCATGGCAACGTCTCCTTCTCCGCTTCAAGATCCTTCGCAGCCTCCAGGCCTTTATAGCTGTAGCTGCCCGGGTGTTTGCCCATGGAGCAGCAACCCAGAGCCCCTGAAGGCAACAGCTTAAAGATGGCACCCAGATGGACATGGCTCAGCAATGATAATATATATCTATCGACCCACACAACTATGAGCCAACAAGTTAATTAGCCCACTAATTTTAATAGGACTTGCATATTGAAAAACTGCTAATACTGACTTAAGATGATGACCTGTGACAAAGTTGCATATTTATTAGCTGGAAAGGGAAATTTTGGTACTATTTATCCTCATGGGAACAGTTTGGAGAGGAGGATTATTTATTATATTTATAAGTATTATGTATTTTTTTCAATAAAGATTTATTTATGTGGCTCTCAAGTCTAATTTCTAAGTCCAACTGTGAAAGAGAAATGGATGGAAAGAGTAGGGCCAAGGGATTATAACATGTACACTTTTCTACTACTCTGAAGGTCTATGGTGGAGAGTGAGATTTTCTCACAACACAACTCCCTGGGGGATTTTTTTTTTTTTTTTTTTTTTTTTTTTTGGTACCAGGGATTGAACCCAGAGGTGCTTAACCACTGATCCACATTATACTTTTAATTTTGAGACAGAGTCTTGCTAAATTGCTGAGACTGGCCTTAAACTGACAATTCTTCAGCCTCAGTTTCTCGAATCACTAGAATTATAGGTATGTGCCACCATACCYAGCCACTGGGATATTTTCAGTATAAATCCTTGATGGCTGAGCAAACAGCCTGGGATTATAAGGAGTTCAGATTAGGAAGTGGAAGCACACCTATAGGTCACTTGATCCCTGATCCATTGACCGCTATCTTGGCCAAGAATATAGGMGCCAAAGATAGGAGCCCCAATCACTGCAGAATCAAAAATTAGACCACAGCCAGGCATGATGGCACATGTATGTAATCCCAGTGACTCGGGAGGCAATTTAACAGCAAGGACCTAAGCAATTTAGTGAGACTGTCTCAGAAAAGAAAAGGGGGGGGGGKGTTGGGGTTGTGGCTCAGCAGTAGAGCACTCGCCTAGCTCGTGTGAGACACTGGGTTCAATCCTCAGCACCA